CATCCATTGGTAGATAGGACGTTCAACAGTGAAGCTCCACCCCAAAAGGTTGCCTATAGCCCATGAAAGAGTTCTGTGTCTAACTGAGATTTATTCAGACCAGTGTTGCAATATTTCGCTCGGAACTAAGATCTTTTGAGACAATAGTTTAATTTCACACAAAGACCAATCTAGTTGCCTTCAGGCGCTTTCAACACAGACTAGGATGAGAAGCGCACTGAATTCAGACAGTTTGCTGAATCCACCCAAAATTAATCATGTTCTACTCCACACTTTGGAAGTTCGTAATTCCCCCAATGGATCCAATGCGTTGGAACTCCCTATTCTTTCAAACAGGAACTCATCTCTTTTTTAAAGAAAACAATCGGCGAACCAAAGTTGTTTGCAGGTGAGTGTATTTTTGAAGAAATCGCCCCTTCTAACTGTCTAATATGCACCTTGTTTGGTTCGAGGAAATGGAGATACTTATTCCAGGTAAGCCAAATAGTATATAAAGTATGCACTGCAAAGAATAACAGTAACAAATGGCCGTGTCACAAGAATGGAATGACAGTACAATAATACAACGAAGGAGAAGTCATACATCATATAGCAAGTTTCATCAATGCTTTGCTGTACATAATTTGCACTGTGCTGTTATTTGATGAAGGCTTGGCTCTGCAGTTCAAATGGGAATATCTTGGAACTGAATATTCCCGTAGGGCAAATAATTCCCGGGTAAACATGCATGCCTTACAGCTGTTTCAGGACATGGTAAGAAACCCTCTTGCTGGACTTTGGTGTACCGTGCCCAACCTGTCACTCTTCCGTAATCGACCCAATTCTGCACGTGACCCAGCACGTTGTCTCCGTAAAGTACACGAACAAACCGTCCGGGGTTCGGTAACGTCGGTACCCACAGTCCATCAAGATTGACTGTCGTAGGTTGTTCAAATCCATGTAGCCGATGCGATACGAGGACTGGCTCGCCGTACATCTCTATGCGCCATGAGCCTGTGTACAATGCGTGATACAGGCAAGATCCGTTGGTGATCTTTGAACACGCCGATATATCGTAACCGAACTTGGTCATAATTTGCGCCGAGCCAAGTTGGCACTGATACTTCTGCTCCAAGCCCTCTTTGATGGGTCCACCGACAACCTGATATTTATAAGCATCCCATATCAAATCTGCATCACGTTCCCACGGCAGAAACCCACCAGAAATTTTCACTGCTCCGACAGTAGTTCCGAAAACAACCAGCGCACCAACCTTGTTTTCTGCTGCTAGCGTGAAAAATCCTTTCACACATCGGGCAAGCTCTTCGATGCAGCATCTCGGAAGAATGACACCAGCAATTTTAAAGGAGTGACAATTGATGTTAACATCCCTACATGTCCAGCGATGCTCAATATCACCTGGCAGCAAAATACGATCAATGGTCCACCGCTGAGCCAGCTCTACCCAGGACGATTTAGGCATTTCTGCTACCCCTTGACTCTGAGACCCATAACTGTTTCCGGCAACGTGGAACATAAGATCAACACAGGCGACTGTCTGAATTGCTGGAATGCCGGTTTTGTGTACAGACCCGAGGAACATGTGAACAAAGGCCACCGGCCCCGAAAGGAGTTTCGAATCTGCCATATGTTGCTGGAAAAGCGTGCGCTTGATCAGAAATGGTGAAGCAATATAGTCACAATAGGCACAGGATTGCTCCGATATGTCGTGCCCTGGGTGGATTCGCAACGTAAAATTTCGGATGCTCGCCTAAAAATGTAAGAAAACATAAAGTCATTATTGTCATCTTACTTGTTTGGTTAACTATGGTGTTTGTTCGAAGTTTGCCTAGATATTTGGCCCTTGTATCGAACTTTTTGCCTTACGAGTCGTATTCACTATTCACTTATGCACCCCAGAAGTCTGTTCTTAAAATTAAGTAACTGTTAAAAACGTAGTGCCTAAATTTGTCAAATTTAAACAAGTCATATTCAAAGAACAGCTTACGCAAATCTAGTGACACAGCTGACG